AAAAAGAAAAACACGAAAAAGTGCATCACACGATAATGTGCGTGAGATGTCATATTCTTTCCATCTCTAACACGAATTAGGTAGTTTCATTAAAAAGCACATTTATAGTACCCTACAAATTTTATTTATTTATTAATTTATTTAGGAGATGTTTTTCGTTACGCAAACCATTCTGTCGAGATTGTAACCGTTAGATCAACTATCCCTAGCGGTTACAAACTCGACAAATAGTTCTATAACGGGACCGTAACATTTCCTTGTTTATTTCTTTTGTAGTATATTACCCAGTTTACCCCCTCTATCTGGTCACCCTCATCCCATTATCATTACAATTTTTTTTTTTTTTTATTTTATTTTTTTCAAAATCTGTACTTTATATTATTTTGGCCCCAATTCATTTGTCCTTAGCAAAAGGAACAAACCCTAGACGGTTAAACTGCAAATCAGAAGCCTTTTTTTGTAAGATAATCAGCGATCAAATCCACCTAATTGAGGCGGATTTGGTTATGTAATTCACCTTAATTTTCTATAAAGGTCAGCGAGATCTTTTCAAATTCATTTATCGTTTTTTTTTGAATCTCTTGATCGATCGAGGTTCGCTTGTTCTAATTTGGGGATTTTGTAAATTAGTGCGGGTTTTGTGTGGTTTTTTGCCCAATTATTTGTATTTTTTTGGAAGAAATTTAATTTATTTTTGATGATTTGAGCAGGTTTGCTTTTTTGATAGTATATTAATTTTCCTTTTTCTTAGTAGATTTAGCTGTTGATGTTTATACACACATATATATTTGTTTATGTTTGTCTTCTTAGTATATTATGTTTGTTTATGTTTGAAAGATCAGCTCTTTAAAGAAGATATGTGATGTAATATGTGATGTATTAGGATCTTTATATTTGTCCATAGACTTTCTTAAATATTATGTCTTGTTATCCAATAAATGTGTTACATGTTTGTTTTAAAGCGAATGCTTGGTTTCGATAAGCTTTAAGATATGAGTTTTAGCTCGATTTTTATGTGTTTTTCTTTAAGTCTTGTTTTTTCTGTACTGTCACAGGCTTTTGAATATCTGCTCGAGCGATTGCTTATTATCATATTATGAGATTCAAAATAGGGGATAAAGTGGAGGTTTTGAAGAATAAGGAATGGTCAATTTCATGGCGTGCCGGGAAGGTTTTATCTATCAGCGGCCATAAACATCTCGTGCAGTATGAGTCAAATCCCGACACGCTTAGTAACAAAAATGTGGAGATTGTTTCAAGTAAGTTTATGAGGCCACAACCTCCTCTTGTTAAGGATGTGGAAAGCTATTCTGTTGGTGACATTGTGGAGGTGTTTTATCAAGATTCTTGGAAGATTGGTATTGTTTTGGATACTTTGGGACGTCAAAGTGGAATTAAAAGAAATAGGAAAACTCGGCAAATGCAGTTTCTAGTTCGGATATTTGGGTGCTCACGAGATTTAGCTATTGACAGCTCGGATATCAGGCCAAGACAAACCTGGATTGGTGAGAAATGGGTTCTGATGGGAAAGGTATATATGTATTCCTAATTTCTATTTTGTTCTTTTTTCTTATTGATTATTTAACCATTTGCGTCTTTTTCACTGTATCGAGGTTTTGGATTGGTTCAGTTTCGTAACATTCGATGTTTGTTTGTTTCTGTTCAGGGTTCCCAATCACGCGATGACAACGCAACTAGTCGACCATTGACATCATCAAACTACTTCCGAAGCAATCGACTGAGAAGGCATCTCGCGACTGTCCAAGGCAACACTTCCTTGCTTTTTGAAGAACAAAACAAGCCCCCGCAAAAATTAAAAACGAGCGAGAAAGAAGCCCAAAAGCGTCGAGCAAAGACCCCCTCGATCGTAATATCAAACGAATTTACCAAAAGGCGAAAAAATCATGTTTGCGACTTCTCCTCGTTCAAAGGCTCTGATTTGAATACTTCAGACATCGATGCTTGTTCGGTTGGGAGTTGTAGTATCGTCTCAAACAGTTTCAAAAATTCATGCGGTCGTTTTCTATCTACAAATGAGTTTGACCAAGAAAGAGAGACGCTTATTAGTGATGCCGAGTCTTTTTATGGGACAGGCTCAGGAAGAAAAATCTTTCTCTCTCATCCTCGAGACGAGGATTTAGAGGTAAGTGTAAGAGAGCTAGAGTTGCAAGCTTATCGTAGCACGTTGAGAGCATTGCATGCTTCTGGTCCCTTGAGTTGGGAACAGGAGGCCATGTTGACAAATCTTCGTATTATGCTCCGTATTTCGAATGACGAGCATTTGAATGAGCTGAAGCTCCTAATTTCCACTGATATGGCTGTTAGTGTTAGATATGGGTGAAAATGAAATAAGCATTACCATGATTTAGTCTGGATAACTGTGTAACTTATTGTATCTTATCTTTGCAGACTGTTTGTATCTTATAACTGAGGATACATGTTGAATTCTTGTTCATTAGTAGAATGCAGGAAAATTTTCTTCTGACTCTTTGTTTTGTAGCTTTTTAGTTATAAGAACTGATCCCCATTCCATCAAAGTTTTGGCAGCACTTATGTTATAACTGTTTTGAGGATGTTTGTGGACATACTTTGATTCTGCACTTCATGTTTCAGGCCTAGGCAATTTATTAAGGCACTGAATCATATGCTTCCAAATAGTTAGAACAAAATATAATGCCTTTTCATTAAATCTTTGTCAGCACTTGTGTAAACTGTTGCAAGGAACTTGCACTGTTCTCTGTTTCGTGTGTTCTTTGAGTTGTTAGACGAGTGATATATGTTCGGGTTCAAGTACTTCAAATTATCTGAGTTGCTAAACAAGTGGTAAAAAGTTCAGGTTCAAACACTTCAAATTCTCACCGTGTGTTCTTGAGTTGTTAAACAAGTTATAAAAAGTTCAGGTTCAAATGCTTCAAATTCAATACTTTGATGATGAAAACCTGGTTCAATACTCTCATGAAAGATGCTGGGGTGATATTTATAACATGCATCATTTGTAAGGAAATATATCCCCATACAAAAACTTGTGATTAAAATGTAGTAGATGAAATAAAACATAGCGACAGAATATATCATTTAAGGCTTGTAGATTTCAATTAATTGATCATCATGTTATCACTAGTACTTAATTTTATCAATTATGATATTTGCAGACCATGCAGCAAATGCAAGCAAAAGGACAAAGCAAAAGAATCAAAACACAGCCATTATAGTGACCACAAAGATATAAGGATTGTTGATACAATCTACAGCACAACATAGAGAAATACTCGCAAGGAACATTTTGAAGATCAAAACCATCTTCAACAAAGTCTATCACAATCCACGAGCAGTCAAAAGGCACAACAACCATCACAAACTACAAGTATCGTTATAAAAACAAAAGCTCAAAGTAAAGAAAACGGGTGGAAGAATAGCCCTCAAATCCCATAAAACACGCAAAAAATTCGGCAAGGCACAAGAAACACATTAGAGATGATCTCAAAGCTTTCGAGTATTATCCATTTAATCAAAAGCATCGTCATCATCATCAGGAAGAGGTTGACTAGCTGCAGCTGCAAGTTCAGCCTCGTGCCTGCAAAATAAAGTTATGTGAAATTAGACATCAAAATAGAAACCAAAGAACCCAAGTGGCAATCTTTGTTTTTGGATTTGATCGATAATTGTTCACCATTCTCATAATCATCATCATCAAGTTATCTAACTATTTATTACTCTTCAGAAATATTGATAGAGAAAAGACGAGGCTTACTGTTGTTGAGCAGCCAAATCAATATGAACTTCAGGTGGGGCAAGAGCAGGAGACTCAACAAAGTGCAAGTTAGGATCCCTACACAACCAGAACACAAAATCAGATATGAAAGTTGCAATTCTATAAGTTCAACAACAATTACAAATCAAATCTTTTACTTATTTATTGACTTTTTAAAGGATTCTAGACATACCCAGCAAGTTTCCTGGCAAGGTACAAGAAGGGCTTCTCGAAGTTGTAATTACTCTTTGCTGATATTTCATAGTACTGCAAATTCTTCTTGCGGTGGAAGGTAACCTGTTTCGCCTTCACCTGCCTGTTCTTCACATCAACCTTATTCCCACACAGCACAATTGGGATGTTCTCACAAACACTGAAAGAATTATCAACACCACACAATTGTCAACTGCCGCTAGACACAAAAGATAAGCTAAAAATGAATGGGTCAGCAAATACCGGCAAAGATCACGATGCCATGTCGGGACATTCTTGTAAGTTAATCGTGCTGTCACATCAAACATAATAATGGCGCATTGTCCATGGATGCTGAAAAGTGGTGAAGCACGGTTCCATGTTAGCAACACTAAAGCAATGTCTTCCGTTTTGGGCATATACATAAATAAATAAATCAAGATGCACTAAAACATGAATTCACATACTAGTAACCATCTCTAAGGCCACCAAATTTCTCCTGACCAGCAGTGTCCCAGCAGTAAAATCTGATTTTCCCGCAGTTTGTGAAGAAATCCAATGGATGAACTTCGACACCAATGGTAGCTGCTCAAAGACAACAATGAAGAAGGCTCAAACAAATCATAAAAACAAGTAACACAACACGATTGAAGCTGAAGCAAAGACGAAAAAACTCAATCTTACGTTCGTATTTCTTCTCAAATTCACCAGTGAGATGCCTTTTCACAAATGTGGTTTTCCCTGCAGCACAAAAACACAATTTCTTAAACAGATAGATAATCAAGGCCGTGAAGCAAATCATTCCAAGCGAAAAATCACAGTTTCACGGCAATTTCATGGATTCAAATAAATATCAACTGTTGACCTCAACAAAAACCCTAAACCAAAAAATCAATTCATTTCCAAATCTCAAGCCAAATATTATCAAATTAATATAGAACCATGTAGAATTTTACAAGGAATCAACTCAACATAACAAAAACTGTCAGCACTGGCCACAAATTCTCAGCTACCCTAATCCTGAATAGGGTTTTCGCATCACCAAAATGAAAAACACAATCAAACTAGAAAAAAACCCTGCACATCTAAACAACTATTCCAGATCCGACCAAACAAAACAATAAATCAATAGGAAAAAAAAAAACCCACCTGTGCCGCCATCGCCGACAATCACAAGCTTGAAGCTCGGGTAATCCACCGTCTGCTGATTTGGCAGCGCCTGTAAACCCAGCAAAACCCACGCACGCACACACGACATTAAAATTAAATGAAAAAAAAAAACAATCCAACCCACAAACAAATCTAACAAACAGCAGTAGATCGCCGGAGCAGACGGCAGCTAAAATTAAAGAATCAAACCAGGAGAGGCTTACCATGAGATTGTTGCAGCTCCTTGAAAAGCAAGAATGGAGATAGTGAGGATGGTTCGAGAGAGAGATTATCAAGTGTGTGTGTGTGTGTGTGTGTGTTTGAGGGTATATATATATATATATATATATATGAGAAGCCCTGTAAAGATGTAGGTTTTGGAAATTTTTTTCTCATCGAGTAGCTTTACGCTGACGCGACAATGTGGACCGTTGGATCAGATTTCGGTGGTGCACGACGCACGTGCCTTTCTCGTGTTCGAGGCTTTAATTGTTTGAAATTTGAAATATGACCGTTATTGGGTTTTTTCAATTTTGGGCTATGTTTGTTGGAAATAAAATTGGTGTCTTTCGAAGTCCACAAATACGTTTGGGCCTATTTAATAAATAAAAAGTTTCATGGTATTTTTTTATTGTGTTAATTAAGTTGTTAAAATAATTTAATATTATTAACCAATCATTTTAACATATCATATCAACTTTAGTTCACTATTTATGCATTCACATAATTTAATCAATCATCACTTTCAATCATTTTCTTCCACTTTTACTCACATCGACTTTAATTATTTTATTTTGAATATTATTTTCATTTAAACTTAAATTTTCATTAACAACTAATCATACTACATTTTTAAAAATTAACTATGATTAATAAAAAAACCAATCAAATCTATATTCAATCACACCCTTCATTTTCTTGTGATATTGCAACTTTTTGGGATAATAATTTTTAAACTCGCCATATAATCTGTCTAGACAGGAATCTGGGTTAATTTTATTTTTATTTTTAAATTATATGCATAGTATAGTATTCTATAATATATATATATGTATATATATACATACATATAAAAGTAAGTATATAATGTTTTGAATATAAATTTTGTACATAAAAATGTTAGTAATATTGTATCCCCTAATAAATACATACCATATAAATTTATATATTAATACACAATTCATTTCTAAAATAAAAAGAATCGTAAAAAACAATATATATATATATATATATATATATATATAGTGAACGGGTCAAATCGATTTGACCCGACCATGTGCATGTTCAGATCGACCAGTTCAAGGCCAATTGGCTGGGTGTGTTGTCACCTAATCTGAAGCACCCTTCCAGATCGGCCTTAGCTCCGGGTAGCTTGGGTCCCAGGTCACTTCGTCGGGCCAGTCCGAGTTGGAAAACTATAATTGGGATAATGCAATAGTGATTCACAATCAACTCGTAGGTTTTAGTTGAAAAACTATAGTTGGGATACATGCAATAGTGATTCACAATCAACTCGTAGGTTTTATTTTTAATCGTTGGATGAATTGATCAATCATACCATTTTAACAAAAATACACATTTTCAATATCGAATTTCATAATTTTTTAAATTTAATTTTAATCATGATATTTTTTTTAATAAAAGTATTCATATTTGTTCTTAGAAATATATCAACGTGATCGCTATATCAGCCTAACATAAGATCAACCGTGAAATACACTTTTCCATAAAAATGTCACATGGCCCTATATATAATTCTCGAATATGCTGAGCCTACGTGGCTGTTTTTGGTGCTTCGGAATCTTACTTGCCGAAGAATCATGATTCGTAATTAGGTTTGAACAAATAATATTGATATACGAATAATTAATAATCTAATTTCGGACATTTCATAAATAATATTTAGCTAACTTAGGTATTTTAATATCACTTGTACTAATATAACCCTTTAATTCTTTGTAATTTTACATAGAGAGGCACTAAGTGACTAATATATCCCTGACTTTTGATTTGTTTCCTTCAATTAGCTATTGAATTATAAATGTATCTTAAAAGTTGATAATTTTTGTATTTCTTATCGGTTTTACATATATAATATATCAAATTAATCATCTTTTCATGATCTTCGATTTGACATCCATATTGTATATATAAATTAAATAAATTATATTTATCTTTATAATAATAAAAAATAATAATATTTATTAAAATTTATTAGAAAATAAAATTATTTCTCACTTGATATATTTATATGTAATGTAGTTATATGTATTATTATAATATAACACAAGTAAGTCACACAAATAAAAATTGTCATACTAGATATATAATAATATTTATATTTTAATAAAATGTATTTAAATTTTCAACTATTTTTTCTCATTAATTTTAAATTCTAAGGAAAAAAATTAACAAACACCCACGTAATACACAGGCGTTGTACTCGTAAAAAATAAACAATCAGGCTTATTTTTAATGAATATACTCAACAAAATATATATCATGCCGCATTCTTGCCCAACCACTATTTTTAGTCTGGTCAAGATAAAAGTATCGTAACAAGTGTATAAGGAAACAAACAAAACTTGAACAATGTGTAGA